AGAAGCATCCTCAGTGCAAGCAGCGACCAGGTGCTGTGGGTCAGAGAGGGGTCACGGGCCTTCTTCTGGGAGTGAGTGGAGGTCACCTTCTCCGCCGCTGTGCACGCCAAGGTGAGAGGACACAGTCCTGCAGATGGTCTTTCTTGCCCCTTCTCTGCATAACAGGTCAGTGACTAGCATGGACAGTGTGATGAATTTCATCAGCATCAGAATGCATCGTGACCTGCTGATTGAAAAGAATTTGCAGCAATTTTAGTCTCAGAAATCAGGAATAGTCCTGTTTGGTATCTGAGCCCTGATCATATAGAATTAAAGAATTATTTAGAAAAAGAAAAATGATAAATATGAGGTTTTTAATTTGGGATTATGTTTGCTTCATTTTTGAAGACATTTTTAATTTTTTATTTTTGTTTATTGCTACTCATGAATCATTGTTTTAAGGCAGAAAGAGCATTGTGTTGTTCTTAAGCAGACCTGATTCACAGTGTAGCAGCTCACAGTACTGGCGCATACTGGGTCAGCATACTGGGTCAGCATACTGAGGCCAGTCCTGTGCTGTGTGCTCTCAGGTCGTGTTGCGTTACGAGAGACCAGCACGCGCTGGAGCTGATGTGGCAGTGGACGACGTCTCCTTCTCCCTCCAGTGTGCCCATGATCCCAACAACAGTGCACTACCCCAACCAGCTACCCCCACAGCCCCACCCTCTACATCCCCCTCCGCCACGCCCTGTAAGGTCAGCCCACCAGAACTAGCTGGATCAAAGGTCAAGCCCAAGTGCCAAGTGCTTGCAAACAGCCCTACTTCTGGCACTCAGTCAATCACCACAGTGCTTCAAGATGACTTCTTTGAATCTTGCTTGTGTGTCTGTTGTTCCCATCCCGTCTGCACCCCAGGCAGATGAGTTCTTCTGCTGGCTGTCAGAGGATGTGGCCTGTATCCCTGCCAGTTCTCAGTGTGATTACACCAAAGACTGCCCCCTAGGGGAAGATGAGCAAAGCTGCGGTGAGGCAGACATTGAATTTTAGTGCAAATATCTTAAACCCTTTAAAGGATTCCTAGACTGCTTCCAAGTAGGGAGCCAAGTTGTACACTTCAGTAATAATGTTTAAATTGCATCTTCTACATATTAAATCTTTATGTCTCTTCCAGGACCTTGTACCTTTGAGAACAATCAGTGTGGATGGATGTGAGTAAGAGGGACATCAGGTGGCAGAGACAGAGAGCGACTGTGTCCACAGACCCCGACCATACCACAGGCACAGGTACCTGCCCATCTGACTTTGCTGCAGGGAGAATGTACAGTTCCAGTCAAAAGTTTGGACACACAAAGCTGCCTACAAAGGAGAGTGACAGTGTTGTATCAAAGGACTTGGCCACCTGACCTAAAGAAAATAGAAAAGGTTTTTGAGTTTAACCAGAGAGTGAAGGAAAAGCCGCCAATGAGTGTTCAGCATATACTGTATGTGGGACCTCCTTCAGGACAGCAGGAAAAAAGTGTAATAGTTTTTCTGGTCAGTATATAATACTCATATGTATGTTATTTCAAAGATTTGATGTCTTTATAATTATTCTAGAATGTAGAGAATAGTACGAATGTACCTTTCTATGGGTGGGTGTGTCCAAACCTTTGACTGCTACTGTATTTCTCAAAGAAGCCCCAGCTTCAGCATCCCAGTCATGCATCGTCCTGCTCTCTCCTCAGGCTCCTACATGAGTATCGTCCAAGGAAAATCCAACATTGGCCAAAGCAAATCCAGGGGCAATGCCCGTCTGCTGAGTCCAAGGCTCCCCCCGTCAAGCCCCTACTGCCAGATGATGTGAGTTAACATGTGCAGACAAACTCCACAGTGGTGGCAGTGTAACAGTGTAACATGCCTTGGGGTGACAGATGGGTGTCAGGAAGATCCAAAAAATGGAACTTCTAACCACCGATCAGGTAGGCGGGGCATGACCGCCAGCTTGCTGACGTTATGCACTCTGGGTTTGCCCCCCCCGTAGGTTTCACTTCCGGGTGACCCCCGGAGGAGGGGCTGGCTTGTATGTCTTCCTGTTGGAGTCTGGTGCCAAATCAGGGACGTTGCTCTGGTCCCGCCCTAAGCAGGACAGCGGCCAGTGGGTTCCAGAGATTCTCAATGTGGGCTCCATGCCTCAGCCATACAAAGTGAGTCAGTGAGGACCCGCCCCTTCATCTCATTGACCAGAGTTTAATAGAAAAAAGCCAACCTCTCTGCCTGGCTAGCTTTGCACGTGCATGTTAATGATGTCAAATGCAGGGTATACATTTGCAATGGCACAGTGTGCCACAAAAATCATGGTTCAGTCCCACGCCCCCCCCCCCCCCCCCCCATTTAATACAAATTAAAGTTCCTCCTCCTGA